GAGCGAGCGAGCGAGCGAGCGAGCGAGCGAGAGAGAGAGAGAGAGAGACATAGAGAGACAGAGAGAGACAGAGAGAGACAGAGAGAGAGACAGAGAGAGACAGAGAGAGAGACAGAGAGAGACAGAGAGAGACAGAGAGAGACAGAGAGAGAGAGAGAGAGGGAGGGAGGGAGGGGGGGAGGGGGGGGTGAAGTTTCCATCCGTCTACCCACAGCCTTGACCAGCTCCGCCCGCGTTCGGGCACTGCATTGCTGCCTTACAGAAGCGATGTAAGCTTTCATATAAATTCGGAGCAAGCTTACGAAACACAGTGCCAAGTCACGGATCACTTCAATCGGAATGCCAGCATGGCTAACCACACGAAGCTTCTCGCAGCATTCCCCAAAACTCTGCAACGGGCTGAGAAAGGATACTTGCATCTCTTTGGGCTCAAGCATAAACACTTCAAAGTCGACAGTACACAAATGAAAAGCGTTGCGATACCTGGGCCAAGATCAGCTGCACCACGAGTTAAGCTGCACTTCTTGACCACTGTTTCCTACATCATGTGGTGGAGACGAATGTATGCAAGTCATCTGCATTGCCTAGCAAGTCTCTACACGTGGGTATGGCAAGCTAGAAGGTTGGCGTTCATGGCTTTTCATCAATGCTCAGCATACCGAAAGATTTCCATTTCCCGTCGCAGCTTTCGCAACTTCGCAAAGGCGGCTTGACTAACACATGTTTTCACGTGTTGAGTGAGACATCTGGCAAAGCAGCACTCAAATGTGGCCTCAGCCGAACCAATGGAACTTCAAACTATGCATGACAGCTTCGCCTGCGATGCCCCTGCCGGGACTACGAAACACGAACTGGGACGATGACAATTTCACCTGGCACTAATAGTGGTTCCGGAGGCGTGACCTGGCCGACGCTACCGCCACCGGCTTTTTACTAAGCACATGCCTCTCAGGCCCCGTCTTGAAAACAGGACGGCTGGTGCCTCCGCTTGACGACACCGCCTGACCCACGACCAGCTGCGGTGGCACGAGACTGAGAGGATGATCAAGCGCCTAACTCCGACTCTTCAGGTCGTCGACCTTGTTGCTGCGTGCTGTGGGAAAAATGTCTGCGCTGTGGCATGCTTGCTGCACCTCTACAAGCGGACATTTCGGAAACAAAACAAACAAAAACTTGTGGCTTGGATGCTGCTTTGCAACTTCAACACTGCATTCAGCGGGGGCTCAGACGGGAGCCGACAGACTCGAAATGCACTTGTCCCGCCCAAGATTCACTGACGTTGACCCACGTGCATGAGGCCGGAGCCTCTAAGTCTCCAGCCTTTCCTTCAACTGCTCCACGCACGCGGAGATTTGCTGACTCAAGGGATGCCTCGGAAAAGTCCCAAAAAACATGGCAATGTGGCCTGGTGACGAACTGCGCAAAGCTCGGCATCCGGCTCTTCACCAAGCTCTTGCAAACAACTGTCGTGAGCCTGATTCCGTGAGGGTTTGAACATGATTTGTCGCTCACCGCACCAAGAGCTACCAATAATGATGTTGTTGATGTTGATAAGCAAAACTTATGCACACACTCACTCATGTGTCCCGAATAATCCCACAAAGCACGTGCAGCGTTCTACTTTTTCTTTAGCCTGACGTATGGCTTTGCCGAACGTAGATTAGCTACTTTGGCTACAGATGTTCTAGAACCCTTTCACTTGACCCACAGCGATGGCGTTTATGCGGAAATTGCAAAGGAAACTTTACTATTGCCCGAGTATCGGAATCATGGTAGTCCAGAATACTTTGCTCTCCCCACAAAAATCAACCCCATGTTGGCCGGCCCATGCATGCCCATGCTTTCGTTCCCACTGATCCAGCTGTCGTTGAGCTTTGCCACTCCCTTTCCCTTTGCTGTCCGGGCGTTGCACAAAACGTGCTTTGTAAAGAGGTGGAGCTTTTGGCTTTCGTGGTCGTGAGGACGAAGGGCGAGACAAAGTCGCCATAGACGAAGCGCCGGTACCACCGAGCGTCTCTCGTACTTCTGCATCTGGCATCCGCAGCTCGGAGATGGATACCTCACCTGGCACAAGGTATGCGGTTGAATGCAATTGATTTGCCTGGCGGCTGGTGAGCCCTTCTCGCGTCTGCCCTGGACATCTGAAGCTTGTTCACCAAATCCGGAGTAAGGGTCACGCCCAAATCCATTAGAATGCACCATTCCACATGGGTCAATATGCAGCTGGCGGCTGGTGATCGCGTTGAGCAGGTGCCGTGAAGTAATTGACATGAGTCCATCAGATGTGCAGATGCATTCATGCAGGGGAAGATCCTGCTGAAGTGCATCATGTTCAACTATGACATCCTGCGCCGTAACCTGGAAGACGGTTACCGACGTGATCAGACTGGACAGATGCGCTGGGTGCTGATGTCACGGATGACGAGATCATGCGTGAATCACGGCAGGGAAGGATGCCAACAGGACCTTGCTCTTGAGGAAGTCGTCTGGGGGGTTACCTCAAGTTCCCTCCACCCAATCCTCCTCCCTGCAATCCGAAAGTTTCGGAACACCCGCTTTTTGCGTTTGTTGGCCACCCCCTTGCCCGCCTTCCCCTCATTTTACCTGATTTTTAAACCTAACCCCGCTACCCCTCTTTTCCTGCTGTTGTTGTTGCAACCCCCCCCTCCCCGCCCCTTCCCCCGCCCCCTCTCTTCCTGCTCTTGCCCAGTCCCTGCCGCGACGTGGCCATGCTGGTCCCTGTACAGCTGTTCGTTCCTCCTTGCCGCACGCTGACATGTCTCGCTGAAAAAAGCAGCTCTACGGCGCCCCCGCACCTGTTCAATCGTGAGAGTCCTGCTCAAACAAATCTCAATATAGCCGTGTCCTGAACAGAATTCCTGTGTGATACAGAAGGCTTCGCCATTTCATCCGGCCTTTGCACCTGCGGATCCGAGGGCGTAGCGTTAAAAATTACGATTCCGCCAATTTTTGTCAATGTCAGAAATCCGCATGAAAATGGCACACCAAAAACCATGCAGTCGCACGCTCCTTTTTGCATGGTGGATTGGTATGGCTGCCGACTCCCGGGAGATACCCCTTCGGTCTGAGATCCGAGACATTAAGCACCAAAACTTCGGGGGGTCCCGTCACTCAGGGCCCACGGCACCTGGTGTTCGAAAATCCACCACCGGAACTGTGCCGTCCAGAAAGAAGCCTGTGCAGGAGGCAGCCACAGCCTCACCGGCCGCCCTGCGCGGGCCCATGGGTGAGGTCGACTGTGTCGTCGAAAATGCGATCCTCAAGAATCGAACGAATGAGAGCAAAATGCGGGAGCACGGGTTCAACCGGCAAACAGAGAGAGGGAGTGAAACCTTGAAAGTCCGGGTGAGTCAGTTCATCCGCCCACGTGTTGAAGTCGCGCTTCACGTGCGAGGGAGCAAGCTGCATGCCATGTTGGTGCAGCTGAAGCGAGATCTCCATAAGGATCACCGAGGTGGGCATCTTCTTGGACTTGTCGTTAAGGAGAGAGCACACATTCCCTTGGTTGTCACTAACCAGGGGAAGCCTCAGGTTCGGGATGAAGGCAGGCGCCTTGTCCATGAGGAAGTGAGCAAGGATCAAAGCGCCGAACATCTCCAAGGCAGCGATGCGTTTCTTGGGGCATCCTTTGTCGAAGGCCCAAGGATGCTTCTCGGCCGTGATCTGGTAATGGAACCAGAAGACGTCCGACTTGGCGGCGTTGGCGGGGGAGTCCACATTGGAGAGCCATCCGCCCACGAATGCCGAGCCATCATCGGAGGCGTAGCATCCATCACCCTTGGAAGGGCCCCAAAATGTCCTCAAGCGGGGACCGGGAGGCGCCGTGCGATCTGTGCCTGGAAGGGAAAAGTGCTCGGGTGATTGTCGGCAGGGGGCAGGGGCTTGGCCCAGGATGGCCGCATACCACTTTCCCCCAATCATGCGCTGCTCGCCCATGCGCAGCTCGATGATCCTCTTGAGCCTCACGATCTGGTACTCCGAGCCGACGGGCACACCTCAGCGCCAAAGGCACCTGTCACCAGACTCTCGGGCGACCCGCTCGCCCTCACGGCGCAGGGCAGGGAGGGTTCCAGCAAGAACTTCAGGGCCTCAATGTCCTCCAACTCCATCTCCTTCAAGAGGGCCTCCAGGTTGAAAACATTCATCTCCAGAGCGGCCCCCGTGTGTCGAAGGCATCCGCCACCGGGCGAAGTGCGTGTCCAGATGGCGGGGTATGGCTGCCCCTTTTGCGTTCTCGACCTCCTGGGCCCCCGCCTGCATTTTTGCGATGACATCGAGCTGGGGGTTGGAGCTTGTCAAGGAACTCGCTCTCAGTGTCCTTGTGCTTGGCTTTGTCCACCGGCCCTTAAATCTGGCACACCTCGAGAACACGTTCCACCGCTGGTCGGGTCCAGGTCTCGGTCTTGAGAGAACAAACCACCGAGTTCGGCTTGTGTGTACTGCTGGGCCAACTCCGCCGACCTTCTGCCGACGCTCGGGAAGTTCTCAAAGAAACCCTCGATGCGGTAGAGCTTCTCCTCCAAGTTTCCCGAGGGAAGGCTTTGGTAGAGGAGGCTGCCGGGTAACCCTTGCCCATGTCATCATCATTGACCCCCATGTGGCCGGGCTGGCCTACCTCAGGGACAAAGTCACCTGCAGCAGCGGTACCCATCGTCTCGTCCTCCTCTTCCCCCAAAATGGCGGGCTGGACTGCCTCAGGGACAAAGTCGCCCGCAGCCGGAACATCCTCCGTAGGAACATCAGGCTTGGCAATGGGCACCTCGGGTTCCGCTCTCGAAACGATTCTGTATCTCGTGTCCAGGGACAATACCGCTTCTTCGCCCATGTTCTTGTAGCCGGGATTCAGTCCTCTTTTGGTACAGGAATGGGTCCCCACGTTGTGGAAGAGTCCGGTCGCGCTCCGACATGTGACGCTGAATGACCCTTGTGACTTCTTGCTGTAAGATGGACCAATGGAAGTAAGAGGTTCTCCACATACTCCCACAGAACAGGCGCTTCATTTTTGCATGCCCAACTCAGGATCTTTCCTCCGAATATTGTATCCAGACTTCCATAAACGACATGGCGGCGGATGGCATCGTTCTCCTCGCGCCGGCATGGCAGAACAACCGTGACCGTTCCGCTACTGTAAACGGCACTACGCTGGCGAACCAAAACTACTAAAGCCTATAACCCGAGAAAAGAACTTGCTGTGCAGCGGCACCACCCCAAGGGTCGAGCTCTTCAAGCAAAGTGCGAACACAAAGTGTGTCGACTTCGGGACCTGGAGAGGAGTACGAAGTGAGTCGTACCACAACTACGGCAGCCTACCTACAGCACGGGGTCCGGCCGGACCAACTGCAGACAACTGAGGCAGCAGGAAGCTGCAGCAAGCACGTTACGCCGAGATGTAGCTCGCTGCTACATTGCACTGGCGCCGATGAGACAGTGCACATTGCAAGAACGCAGCAGCAGCAGCAGCTGCAGCAGCGGCAGCAGCAGCAGCAGCAGGCACTATGCATGGATGGCTCGCTCACATTTTTCGCAGCTGGACGACTTCTCCCGTGTGCATCGCCTGGAAGCTTGGAACGACAGAAGCAGATGTACAGGGCTTCGAAAGGAAAGGCTCCCGAGGGGCCTAAGGAGTTCAATGAGCAGCCGAATTTTTCGGATGCCTCACTGCTCCACCCCGGGCGGGCAAGGGAGGGCCCAGAAGAGCTACAGCAGCGAGCGTTTCGGTCGCAATCCATGAAAGCACATGGATGGCTCGCTCACTTTTTTCGCAGCTGGACGACTTCTCCCGTGTGCATCGCCTGGAAGCTTGGAACGACAGAAGCAGATGTACAGGGCTTCGAAAGGAAAGGCTCCCGAGGGGCCTAAGGAGTTCAATGAGCAGCCGAATTTTTCGGATGCCTCACTGCTCCAACTCTGTTCCGTACTTCGAGGGGACTAGGTCCGAGAAAAGCTCGACACGAAAAGACTCAGAAGCGAAGTCGCGAACGGCGCCAGCTCGAGCACGGCTGAACGCTGACTCTCTGTCAGGTCGGTCAACAAGAGCTGCCCTGCCACGTCCTGAAGGTAGTGCTCCAGGGTGCGCCGTTGCTGCCATCTGCCGCGCCATTGAATCCGACCGATATCCTCAGTCATCTGATAAAGCCAAGTGGCGCCTGAACCCCTAAGGCACTTGGGAGTAATGCCGCGGTCGTTGTCACCAGTAGGCACGCCGAAGTGTTGAAACAAACAATCCCAGCGTCGTCGGAAAACGTTAGGTGAACAGCTGAACAGGGGCTCAGAGAGCGGCACTGCGCCGTACAAGGCTGAAAGAAACTGAACAACGAGGACGTCGGAGATCTTTGCATGCTGGCGCTGCAGAAACCGCTTTGTTTTGGCGCCCAAAATACAGACATACGCTATGGGCGTGCTGGTGAGGAGATCCGAAGGAAGAATGAGATCCCTCCTTCGAAGCTTGAGAAA